CTTATATTCATATGAACCCCTAACCCTAATTCAGTTATTGTATCATGATAATTATCGGAGCTGTGATTTGCATAATTTAAAATTGGGTCCTGCATACGATCAAAAAGTGCGACTACATACATGTTTTTTTTGTACTGTGAAACACTTTGAAATAGCTACATATTATTTTAGTGCATTTGACTCAATGCATGAAATAACGGAATCTTAATTTTGATAATGTGCTAACAATCTCTTATGAGAATATACTTTCTCATAAATTAACTACACGTTGATTTAGCAAAATTACAAATTTCACTGCAGCTAAATTTGTTAAAATAGTATGCTAGCTAAAAGACATATTTTATAGTTTATGCTCTTTCAAAAAATCAGTCAAATTCATACCAGAAGTTATTTCTCATGTTATACTCACACAATGCATACATTAGAGATTGTCATTGGGCCATAGATCATAGGCAATTGACCTAATAAACTGGGACAACAAATCCCTTGCAATTTTTTGTTTTAAAAACAAATCACATAATCGTTAATTTTGACACTTGTCCAGTATTTTTTTTTTTTTTTAATTATGAAGTATTTGTTAGGAAAATTATTGCCTGAAAACATGCAAAAACTGCCATTTTTGGACAATTTCCATAGTTATCGCATTATTCATAAAAATTCATATTAAAGCATTATTCATATCAAACGTATAGTTATCAACAGAATGTCTTAAAGCGGGGAAGTCATCACCTGCACATGCATCAGATGGCCATAGCATTTTATTGTTCACAAACATGAGCCCATGAGCCTTTGCACTTTTAGCATGTGTTGTTATCATCGCTTGAGACGGCTTAGTCTTTTCCACGAAACGAAACCCTAACTCGCATTTTTTTTTTTCATTGGCCCAATAATATCTGAGAAAATTTCACACTGTGAAATACGGACGTGACGATGTTTGAGGTCGTTCAAAATCTAAGGTTAGGGTTAGGGTTTCGTTTCGTTTTATTTTGTTTCATTTCGTTTCGTGGAAAAGACTAAGCCGCTTGAGACTCAATTCCCGCATGCACAGACGACCCTCTCGCTTTAATAATTCTTGACAATTACTGAACTTATTTTTTCACCCTATGTACCGATAACCAAACAAAATTTTAAGATATTGTGAAAAGGTTTTATCATAGGAATTACTGAATAAAAATCAACATACTGTATATGGATCTATGATTTGTGCTTTCTGTGAAAAGTAGTTTTGTGACCAGGGCACCAAATATATTATTGTCTGGGTTTTACTTAAGCATAAAATAAAACCATATTGTAAACATCAAGGTAATCTGATTTTGTTTTAGCCAATTTCTGTTTTATAAAAAAAAAAAATCAAAAATACTATAAAATACTTTATTTTAGCTGGAATTAATTTTCGCTGAAAAGACTTTTTGGGTGTTTTGTGTGGAATTTATTTTCACTGATTTTTGACTAGTTTAATGTAAAATGTAGGAAAAAAGGTATATTCGCTGGATTTAATCTTCACTGAATCATTCCTTCAGCGAAAATAAATAAATTAATTCCATGCGAAACTAAAGTATTTTACAGTAGCTGAATTTTAAGAATACATGGAACTAAACATTTTGTTACAATAGCTATTGTTCACTGCTGTTATATGTCACAATTAATATGTTAATGAATGTGTTACAGTTGCACACACACTGGGTGTGGCAGGTTATTGTTCCCCATTATAAATACATCATGCTTTCCTATGCATGCTTGGCGGTTACGGTATCAAGCGTAACAGGGTGATCATTTTATTTAGGGTCATGACGAAGTTCAGGTGCCAGTCATGCTAATTAGTTTTTAGTATTTTTAAAATTACAATTATTTTTAGCCTCAAAATTATTTTTGCTATTTTCGATGAAGGAATGAATCAGTGAAAATAAAATCCACCCAAGTATACATTCTTTTCTGTGTTTTACATTCAACTCATCAAAGAACAGTAAAAAATAAACTCCATAAAAAACACTCAAACAGGCTTTTCACTGAAAAATGTATTCCAGCTAAAATAAAGTATTTTACAATAATCAGAAACTAGTATACTGGGTAGTGACAGTTGTGTTTTAGCAGTGGCTTTGTACCTTGTGATTCGCAACAAATCACTTAGAGTCACAGCAAAGCAACAGTGGGCTAGAATTGTTGTTATCATCTGCACGCTGTCCAATTTTTCTACTAGTATGATTATATACCATTTTTATTTTTAAAAAAATGTTAATGGTGACAATTAAACTCCAGAACAACTTAAATGTTGTGTTGAGGTTACTCTTATTTTAATATAATGCTAATTCATATTTATGCAAATTTGAAGAACTTAAAGTGGGAACAAGAGATCTGCATAATTATTTTTATTTTATTTTTTCAAATATTTGTATCAAAACCTGTAGGGCTGTAGAAAACTCTTCCCACTTGGTTCAAGGATTTATAGAGGAATACAAAACTTTTGGCAGGAAAGAAATTTATCGTTCAAAGGTCTGAAACAGTGAGAAAAAAAAATGTATCATCAACTTTCAATAAATAGCTTCTATAGTCCCAATATAGATTTGTGTGCAGTATGTTTCTGTTGTGTGTGTTGTATGAATTCTAATGCATAGACTTATTTGTAAAGTATAACATCACATCACGAACCATTCTCTGTTGTCTATAATGCGTAATACTGCATACAAAAATTCTGAACTCGAACTAGGCTAGTTGGTTTGGCTGATTTTTGTTAATTTTAAGTTAGTTTAGTTGTATAAGTTTTTTTTTCTTTCACATTTGGTTATAATAATATCAAAATTCTGCTGCATTTTTTTTTGGTAGGCATTATGTGTATGATGCTAGACAATTTGTATATGTATCATATTTGCTTTGTTAGTAGCAATAAATGCAATTTATTAGAGATATTTACTTCTAATACAGTGATGTGTATGAAACAACAGTCACCGTGGTGATAAGCTGACATATGCTGTAACACAGTCCCACACAGTTGAGAAATGTAAGCATTTTGAAGTGCAACAGGTTGGACACATAACTTTAAAATCAGATTTGGCCCCATAGTCAACATAACTCCCATTTAACTTTATGCATTCTGTAGATTTCTATAATTAACATTCAGAGATATTATATAATATGTGGGTTCCAGGAAGCATTTGAATTCACTAGTCCAATAAATTATGTTGTAGTGTTTTATAGACCTACTCCACTGTGCAGGGTATCTCCTTGACCTTTGACCCTCCACAGTGTGAGAGTCAAATGTCATATTTAACAAAATACACCTGTACACAGAGCTTGCTTGGCCAAACAAAGTTTTTTTCAGTTCTGTATTTGTTGACTAGGCAAAGAAAATTGTAATATGTCCCAAATGTTGCAACACTTCTCTAGTAAATGTCTGAAACTCACTTATGAGATCTTGTTATGAATTGACATGTTGTGTTGTGATAACTGCAGACGTAGGAAAATCTACCAGGTTATTAAATGTCAAAGTCTGCAAGTTGAAAGTAAAAAAATATTATTATAATTGTAGTAAAAACAGTTTTTATAGTACCGGTAGTATCGGTAGTTCAAAAATTTTACATCCTAAAATTATATGTTTGTCTCAAATTATTCCAGGTACATGAACCATTGGTTTAACCCTTTGAATGCCATTGTCAACTTTTGGAACCAGCAACAAAATGAGTGTATACAAACTGCTTCTTTCCACATGAAAAATTGACAAATCTTTTGGTGAAAAACTAAAAGCAGTATCTGAAACTGTCCGTATGGACCAAAATGATGATGAAATTTAGTGACAATTTTAGTACAAAATGTGAAAATATTTGCACTGAATTTTGGAAGGGAACAATATCTACCAACCATAGGTTAGAGTGGGACGGTCGTCATCTGTGCATGTGCGAAATTGAGTCCCAAGCGATGATAACAGCACACGCTAAAAAAGCACAAAGGCTCTCGTGGGTAGACACTTGCTTGTAAACATTGACCACTATGGCCATCTACGCATGCGCAGGTGATGTACGACACCCCCGTTTTAATATACAGGGGTGAGGAAGTGAATCCACAAATTAGCGTAAGTGATTATAAAAAATAATAAAAACTTTGAATATTGGTTTTTGGTTGTAAATAATAGATGTGACTTCCTGTGAAATAAATTAGTGTGCTTTAGAAAAGTCATGTTCATAGTCACATTTATATTGTACTGTACTAAGTAGATTTCTTGTCTATTTTTTTATATAAGTGATATATTCATATAATTTGTATTTTGTCAGTTTTTACGTTGTACTATGATCATTGGTTGGTGATATTGACGGGTAAAATCATAATCACTGGAATTGATTATATTAAATACATTTTTATTAAAATATGATTATCACCACGTACACATGTACATGCAATTTATTCATAGAACAATAACATGTTTTATTTGTTATGATGAGTCACTTGAGAATATATAAGTTCACTACAATGTATCATATAGTTAGTATACAAAGAATTTATTTAGTGACAGTCATAGTACATGTAGCCACACCCCTGTTATTATGGTTGCCATGGAAACACTTCAAATTGATGATACAACTACACACATGCATTGTAGTACTAATTGTTGTCTAATAGGCTCATCATATTAAGGGGTTTCTATATTATTGTTTTTTATCATCGTATATTTTTGGAGTAAAATAATACCTAGTGTTTGAGAATGTAATGCATGAAACGGGCATTTTTTTTCAGGTAAAAGCATGTTATACACATCATTTAGGGTTACTTTTTTTCAGTAAAATTCACAAAATGGCAGCCTAATGCTGTAGTGTTAACAGTAATTTCTTTCTTACAATGGCAATTCATTGAAATAGTGTTCTGAAACAATCAAAGTATGAAATTCACTCTGTTACCTCTGGGTAAAAAACTGACCTTAGCAATTTACCCTTTGAAATAAATAATTCATAATAACAACATATTAACTACATCACATGGAATCCATATGCTTTTGTGACCAATCCAACGTAGCTATGAATGTAACTGCAAGTAAATGTTGTAAAACTATAAAACAACACCAGGTTACAGCATTTTATGATTATGGATCTTAGGCTTGATAGATTCCATTCAAACTTGATATGTACTGGGTACATGTTTTAATTACTTGCATGCATTGTGTCCTCTAACGGAACTAATTTGTAGGATCCTAAGTCAAAATGGAATTCTCAAAAATCAAGTTGAATCAGTTTATTCACTGGTGGTGGTGGTGATGGTGGTGTTGATCGGTGGGTCGGGTCTTCATGAATAAAATAAAACAAACATTAAGTGCCTCCTGAGTTCCTCTGTTTTTACACTTATTTTATGAATTTCATTTTGCCATATTACAAATTTTATAACAATACATGTATAGTAAGATGTTTTTAAGATCACTATGTCAATGTATGATTTCCCGTTCATCAATGAGGCACCAGTGAATTAACACAACTACCGTAAAATCTGTATTAGAAGCCGCATCCCTAATAGAAATCGCACCCACTCTTTTAAAATAATTGAGAACAAAATAATCATCATTTCTCATATGTGTAGGTGCTCTAATAGAAGCCGCATCCCCTCTGTTGCATTCTACCATTTTAATAGAAGCCGCAGCTTTTAATACAGATTTTATACAGGGAATGCGTTAACCACATATTTTGCTTCCCGGACTCCCATTATTGAAGAGGGACCCAGTTTTTCAGGCAAGCTGGGGTCCAATCTCTAACAGTTATCCAGGGTCAAATTTCAATTTCTTAAAATTTTGTAAGTGGGACTTGTCTTGCCGAGACACTAGCACAAGCCCTGTTTATAGTTGCTGTACAAATTTTTGGTATTGGTTACACATTATAGAGGGCACACTGCATGCATCCATGTAATGCATTTTTTTCTTTTCTCTCATCAGATATGTTGCGTTTGATTTCCGTCCTGCTTATTTTCACTGTGTGTTTGCGTCCATCCAGTACTCAACAGTTAGTGTTTGTATCTTTTGTGGATACCATCCTTGAAGTAGAAGAACTCCCAGATCAACAGGTGGCAATTAAAGTCCTACAATCGGGCTATACTGTCGACTCTGTTACAGCAGTGATATCAGTAAGTTTAAAACTCTTATTAAAATTTTATACAATTTCATGTATTTTTCAATAATTTTGTTTTCATTTTTGGACCAACTGACATTCCCCATAGGCTATAGGTCTTAATAATAATCTTTGAAAAAAATATGGAAAAAAAAATTAATTTTTTTTTTGGGTGAAAGTTGACCTTAGTGTTCAATGGGATAAAACCTCATGGTTATATGTACACAACTTACAATGTATTTGGGCTTCAGATTCTTGAGGGCATCCAACTTCAAAGCAAAAATTTCTGAGTGAAAGGAAGCGATCAAAATTTCAAGGATACCAATGCATTTAGGCAGAGCCTCCTATCTGTCTCCAGGCAATAGTGTTCATGGGTAACATAAAGTTTGAAACATGTGCCATAGTTTTATCATATGGATGTTGATAAACCAGTTTTAGCGTAAAACTCATGGGTCAGTGATCGATCACCATAACGTTTGTTGTCCTTGGATTAGAATCTGAATTCCATCTGGGATTGCACTACACAATGCAAATAGTTCATAACTTGGGTGGGGGTGTGGTTGACATACACAGCATTATAAAGTAGGGGCCACCTACTGTAAATTACTTATTTTCACTTGCAATTTATTTTTCTCTGAGAAATGAATCAGTGAAAACAAATTTTCTATGTTTTACATTAAACTCATCAAAAAGTGAAAATAAACTTTATACAAAACAGCCAAAATATCATTTCAACAAAAATTAATTCTAGCTAAAATAAAGTATTTTACAGTACTACTAGTATATTATTTTTGACAAACAATATACTGTAAAATACTTTATTTCGCTTGGAATTATTTTCACTGAAGGAATGTTTCAGTGAGAATAAAATCCAGGGAATATACCTTTTTTCCTATATTTAACATTCAACTCATCAGAAATCCGTGAAAAAAATATTCCATACAAAACACCCAAAAGTCTTTTAAGTAAAAATGAATTCAAGCTTAAATTAAATATTTTACAGAATCTTAATTAGCTTAGCAATGGATACAGTATCAGTGGGTAACATATTCTATTGTTATGCACATTGGGCACTGCTGCACTGTTTTCTTGGGGAGAGCACTGTTGTGCTTCACCCTCTTATACATGTGATGTTGAGGGAATCTTGGTACACATCGTAAGATTAAAGAATCAAAATGAAAAAAGTCAGATTGATCAAAGCATATTTAATTTATTTACCTGAGCTATAATGTAATCACAACTATGAAATATGGAATCTGTTGCAAAATGCACTATTTGCACTTAATTGCTCTCGGCAAATAAAAAAAATATCATCTGGTACAATCTATGCAATGAAAAAAATTCTGTCAGTGGATCAACAATACTGTAAAAGGGTTAATTATTCACTGGGTTTTAATTTAGCTTATTTCGCTGACTGGAAAATGCGCTAAATTAAAACCCAGTGAATAGGTAAAATTTAGCATAGAACACATTATCTAAATGATAAAACCATGAATTTAAAACCCATTGAATATTCCTGAAATGGTAAATCAGCGAAATTTAAGCCCAGTGAAAATTAGTCATTTTACAGTAACAGGTTGTTGGTACATTACATTTATCATACATTGAAGCAAGAACTTGAATACGCTTACATTTTAATGTTACAAGAGGTGAAGTCAGTATATTAATGAGTAAATGGTTGTTTTCCAGTAACCAAAATGATTGTGAGGATTTGATGTGACACTGTGTTCTTGCTGATCAGCCTTTGTTGCATTCAAAATATCTCTAAATAATCTTGATATTTTATTGTCAATGAATTCATGTATTATTATAATTTTTATCTTTCTCAGATACTGTACCAAATTGGACCTGATGATTTTATGAGCAGTACTGGTTCATGGGCGGTAACTTTCCCACCAAATATTTTAAATCCTGTCGTCACAGCAACCATAACTATCCTGGATGATGATATTCCTGAAACTGATGAGTTGTTTATTCTGCAGCTCAGTATCGTCACACCTTCAGACCAAACCCCATTAGCGCAAGTTGGTACGCCTGCACAAGCACAGTTGACCATCAAAGCTAATGATGATGCATTTGGGATTATTCAATTCGCTTCTGTAAGTACCCCCCTCTTCTTCCTCTCCACACATTATATCCTCTCGTTATAATCGTCAAAATGTAAATTCAGTGAGAGTAATGTAGTTAAAAACAACAACTGTTTTTGGTTGTGTAGTCTCTCAAAAATATTTTTTTATTGAAAACAGACCACAGATCAAAAGAAAACTGTGAATACCCCACCCCCCATTTCAGTCACAAAAGCGATTTGTCACTAGAGAGCGCAATTTATAGAAGCAATGTATTGCTTAGCTTTAAACAAATATTGTATCAATCCCTGAATGTCACTCAGCGCCAAGTGAAGGCATTATTTCTAGTCCTGCCTATCTCATGTGTGGTGTATCTGCATTAATACAGATTATGTTTTTATAATGAATCACTTGTTACAATATTTGTCACAGTTACCTGCAAATTATACTTATTATTGAGAGGAAAAAAACAGTTAACTATACTTTTATTTTATATTTACCTGCAAAAGTAAACCTTCATCAATAGTTTGAGTTTCCTTCTGTATTACATGTATAGCAATACTATTTCTCATTTTATTTAGTTAACACCAATTGTTGTGAATGAAGCTGTTGATTCTAATACAAATGTTCATGTTATGGTTCGGAGAAATCGTGGATTGCACGGTAATGTCACAGTGTACTATGAGGTAAGTAACATCAGAATTTGCTAGAATTAATTGATTAATCCAGCAAAATTAATACCAATGAGACCAGCACATGCAACTCAGTTTTTTTTTATTACTATATATTCACCTGACATACTCATTCAGTGAATTTCAGTGGCTGTACCCCTTTCTTTAGGATATCTACACTTGAATCTTCTTCTTTATGTATGTATGTTTAAATGCAAAATAATTGTCTATAATTGATTGAGATGTGAAATCCAATATGGTTAAAATGTGTAGAATGTCCCCTCTCACTTAAGACTGGTTGTCAGTTACCTGTCTTTGAACTATAATCAACCAACTACCTGTGCAGTTTGCATTCAAGCAGCTTCCCTTTAACAGCATTTGTCAACCAATTAGAGGATATCTTACGAGAAATATTCTGTTCTTATTGGTTGCTCTTTTCCAAGATCTGAACACGACTTGCACAGAAGTCTGTCAGATGTTGTAAGAGGTGATGTACACTTGCGGCCGTATATTAAAGCAAATATCGTACTATCTTATGAAATTTTAACCAGATCAGGTTTAATTCAAACCATCATTCATGTGTTTTTGTCTTCCCAGGTGATCAACGGTCCTAACCCGGCAGAAGATGACATCACTCCATCTCAAGGTACAGTCACAATAACAGACCAAAATGATGTGTCTTTATTCACATTAGAAATCATAGCTGAAGAGGTAAGTTGTTTAAATTCTTGTCTTCAAATTATAGCTTATCTTAATGTTAAACTTCATTAGATTTTATTGTGTCTTACTCACTTTTTCTGTCATTGCAATATTATTACAAACAGCAACATTGCCTGCTCAGTTGCTGACTGGTGTGCAATGCACGTCTCAAGATCGTTAAGTGATTAGAACTGGTTAGTTCAAATAATTTTTACGAGGGTATACCATTCGACTAGATTCACCCATTTATGAGTGTTATGACACATACTAAACTCACCTGCAACTTTGTGCTGACATTTCATACTGTGTCAGTACATACATTTTGTTTGGATAACTTTATACGATTGAATGGAATAAATTGAATCGCAATTCCATCATAATCTTCAACATGTCTGAGTCCAGTTAGTTTGACATCTCCTGTTAAGATTGGTTCTAATTACATAATGGTCTTTGGGTGTGCATAGCAAACCAGTGTGCAAATTAACAGCAGCAGGCTTTGTGTTGATTATAATCAAAAAGACAACTTTTTTCTACTCTGGGAATTGAACTGAACTGAGTGAAAGTTGGTTTGAAAGTTACATTTGTGTTGTGGACTTTTTATAGTTGGATACATTCCTATAACTTTATATTTAATGCTATACATATGTGTGAATCATTAGACAAAAGTGTTAGCAAATGAATTTCAAGCAAACAATCAAAATGGGAAACCAAAACGATCACTAGCAATTAGGACACATTGAGAGGGGGAATTGAAAATCAATGCTCTGTTTAGTTCCTGTTGCCATAGCAATCACAATTCTATGACAAATATTAGGGATTTAATATGATTCTTCTGTAGTTTACTTTGTTCAATTGTTAGCCTGTTCACTTGGAAACATTGATATATATAAACCGTAAACATTATTGTTTATAATAGTTACCATGACTACACAATTCTGTCAAAGTGATCACAAACCATTCATGAATAGGTTTCCATTTGGCAAACATTTACATCAGTTCATGTCCATTTCATTAATTTGACCAGAAAATAAATGGTCAGTAACATTTCAGAATTTGATGTGTAATTACTAGTAATTTGAATATATGCTATTATTTTAAATTGGGAGCCCACTATGTACGGTCTCAGACAACTGATGGAATAGACTCTTAACATCAATAGTTTAAGGCTTAACAGAGGTTCAAAAATGTTGGGTTATTATGTAAATATTTTGATTGAATACATTTTAATTTCATTATTCATATCATAAAGTAATTATTTCCAGCACTATGCAGTCTTATGTAATCATGTTTGCGCTCAACTTTTTCAGGTGCCTGAGAACGATGAGACTTTTGTTATTCGTTTAAGTTCAGTGACAGGGGGCGCGACCATTAATGACCAAGCCGATTCGATACAGCTGACAGTACTAGCCAATGATAGTCCGATAAGATTTGCCCAAGCTGAATACTACGTTGAGGAGACTGTAAATCAAGTTACGCTGGAGGTGTACAGGGGATTATCTGCTGACGGGTCAAGTCTACTTGGACCTGACACTGGAGATGTAACTGTTCAATATACTGTGAACCCCAATACAGCAGTATTTGGACAAGATTACACTGTTGCACCACTGAGTGGATTTCTGGGATTTCGTGACGGTGATCACAACGTACAATTCAGTATCAACATTGTTAACGACGCACTTCCGGAGATACAGGAAGAATTCTACGTTAGTTTAAGCCAGCAGTCTTTATCGGCCGTCATTGCTGACCCCGGGGTTGCCAGGATTATAATTCTACCCAATGACGATCCAAATGGTGCATTGACGCTAACATCTACAGTTCTGGGACAGATACCATCCACCATTTTGAACGAGGATACCCAGGCTACTTCAGACTTCTTTGTAGTTGAAAGACTTGGTGGAAATTTCGGAGAGGTTTCAATCGCGTACTTAATAGAACGTAATGATTCCAATACTGATCCTGTTGAGGCTGATCTGTATCCTGCAAGTGGTGTTGTTACACTTGCCGATGGGGTGAGATCAACCCCGATTATTATCATGTTACTTCAAGATAGCGAACCTGAACCGGCCGAAAAATACACCATAGAGATATTGCCCGAAACTGTTACTGGTGGTGCCAAGGTCGAAGGGGTCATCACAGGATCATTCATAATCCAAGACAGTGATGACATTTATGGTGTCGTTCAATTCTCATCAGATACCGAACAGAAGATTCTTACATCAACTTCACCTCGTAAATTACAACTTACTTTGACACGAGCTATTAGCCTTGATGGAGACGTCCTCGTTAATTTTGTAGCAGTGTATAATCTTCCTGTGGATGCTGAACCATCTGATCAAGGTGAGCCTCGTTTTTTTAATGATTTACAACCCTCAATAAAGTAGTATAATTATGTTTCATAAAAGGAAACTTCAAGAAGATCACCCAACAAAATTTTAATTTTTACTTTTTAGAAATATTAACGATTTCATGAAGTAAGGGTTTTTGTGATGATGAAATTTCACAATTTTCACAACGGCAATTTCATGATTTTTATAAAAAATATGAAAAGTTGGTTGTGTAAAATTAATGCAGTTTACTGTATTTTTTAAAATGAAATTAACAAATGGTGGCATCTGATATGCATTGAGTACCTTTTTTGTTCCTTTTCATTTTTATTGTGAATATTTTTAAAATCACAAATAATAGTAAACTGTACAAGTTAGTAAAAACATTTTTTAATGTAAATAACATTGGACGTAATACTGTAAAACATGTCTTTTTCGCGAGCATGTCTTTTTCACGAATTTAGCGAGAGAACTGACTTGCTAATTCAAGATGTCGCTAATGACTTAATTATCAGTTCAAAATGGCCGCCAAACAAACAAATCAGCAATGACAAGAGAGATTCGCTAAATCAACATTTCGCTATTACGTCATTTTACCACAATTCGCTAAAATTGCATGCCGCTTTTTTAACATGTTTTTGCTGACCTAAGCTACTTATGTAGTAAAGCCTAATATTCCCCCTCCCTCAGCTGTTGACAGTCTGCTATGTTGCCATGGTAACTGATATTCCTACATTGTTGTCATGTCATGCATGTATGGCTGATAGCTGCGATGAAACACTGGCACCATATGATTACCTATTTCATTTATTATTTACCTTTTTAACACTGATAATTCTGCATAATAATATCTGATTTGCATAATTAAATTGTCACCATAGTGGAAAGCATGCAATAATCCGCTGATTAATCAATGTCAAAATTTGTCCTACCAAAATTTGGTGCAAAACTTATGTACATGTATTATATATTTTTCTTTACAGTAATTTTAAACTAAATGAACTTAAGTTTCCACAGCCCATAGCTTTTGATTAACATTTTTGAAAAAAAATATATAAAGTTATGTGAATCAATTGATAAAAAATGAGTTGACTTAGACACTCAAACAGATGCAGTATTCAGAATAATCACAACTGCATATATTGTTATCTTAATATTTGTAACTTATTATATTGATATTATGCTATCTACAGGTGAATATATAAAGACGTTGTACATTCTGTTAGTTAGGTTAGTTTTAATTTGATTTGTGTGTTTATTCAATTTGCAGGGATTATGGAGTGAGTAGACAAGCAAGATATAACTGTATATGAGTCAGCCAGATTACGTTAGTAAGCTAGAGTTCTGTTATTATGGAGTGAGTAGACAAGCAAGATATAACTGTATATGAGTCAGCCAGATTACGTTAGTAAGCTAGAGATCTGTTATTATTGAGTGAGTAGACAAGCAAGGTATAACTGTATTTGAGTCAGCCAGATTACGTTAGTAAGCTAGAGTTCAGTTAGTTTAAAATATCAGGGATTAGGTTGTTGAGTTATGGATCGTACACATGACGCATGTTCCAATTTAACTGTATCGACCTTACTGGCACCACCATGTGGTGAAACAGTGTTCAGTTTGTATCTTTGTACATGGTGTAATGTTTGTAATATATACAGTATAGTTGTGGTAGACTTGCATACAGTCCCTTGTTTATTTTGTGTGGTCATGTGATATGTAAATTTTTGAAAAAAACAACAAATAAACAAGGGACCGTATGCAAGTCTATAGTTGTGGATGCAACAAGTATAATTGATTGATTTATTTGCAATTTTAATTCATTACTGATTTTATTGTAATCTATTGATTTGCACATTTGACTGATTGATTTACATATGTAATCAATTGATTTGTATTTGTAATTAATTTGCATATATAATTAATTGATTTGCATAAAAATTGATTTGTCCTTGATTTGTTTATAAGATTGATTTGTTTGCATTTTAGTGTGGTTGATTACATTATGTAATTAATTAATTTGCATATATGATTGATTGTTTTACATATGTAATTGATTAGTTTGCATATGCACAGACATGATTTGCATAAAAATGAATACCTGGTAACATTTTCACATTGGTTTCAGGAGCTTACCTTTTAATCTATTTTTGATGTTTAACAAAAAATTATCTAATTTCTCAAGCTCTGTATATATAATGATATACTGCTTGTCATTGTGTAATTCAACAAAATGATGTTCAATATTAATCTAATTATTTACATTATTTAAAGACGTGTTGCTACTACCTGACCCAATGTCAACAGTGTTTCCTGCTGACACAAGTACCCATCGACTTGAAATTTTGATAGTAGATGATGCGTTTCTGCACATTGGAGCAGAGTTCCAGATTCAGTTGACGTCAGCGGTATTACTTGGTGTGGAAACGATCATACCGACAGTCAGCCCTAGATTAGGGGATAAAAACATGGTTCTTCTGACTGTCACAAATGATTTTGCAAATGGTGAGATTGGATTCAATGAAGCTAACTTACAAAGAGTGGTTAACGAACCACCAGGATTTGTACCACTAGAGGTAAGGCTGACATTTAACTATTTCTTTGACTTCGGTTTGTAAGTTTGTGATAATAAAGAGTGAATGTGAGAGAAATCCTGACTGGATCTAATCTTAAGTTAAGACAATGTGAAAACCGGTACTGGTAGCATTGCCTGATTTGCATGGTTTCGCTGGAGTTGACTATCCAGGACCGTGCCTGATTATATTAAGAAAATTTGTATTTGACCTTGGTTAAATTGAATGATTTGATGGGCACCAAGGAACTGTGTTCCTGTAACAACTCAGATCACTCAGATCAGCTTAACATACAACTTCTCGTTTGATCTCCTATGGAAACACATCGCCACACATGATTTTGTGTTCCATTTACCACATCACATCAGAGCACACACCATTGTGTTTGATTTCGTCAACAAAGCTTAACACACAACTTTTCGTTTGAAAATGTATTGGTAGCGATTCAGTCAAGTTTTGTTCATGATAATTATTTCTTAAAAACGATGAAAAAAACAAACAGCCAAAAGCTGTTTAAATTATCAAAAGAAAGTCCTAGAATAAACTAAAATAAGTTTGGGTAGTATATTATTTTATCTCATCCCTGGTCTTCTCTATTGCTTTCAACATTTCTACCAATTCTTTTGCTACATTGCACTTTTCTCATTTCTGCAACCCTCATCTTGGTTATCTGTTTTAAAATACCAACTCACCTAATGTTTCCATGGTTACATATATTTGCTCATCCCTGCATCTTCTGTAATGTAAAGTTACCATTGAAATTCAGCATTGCATCTTGACCTGTGTTGTTTCTGTTGTGTAATAATATTCTGGTGCTTATATGTACAGGTTGTTCTTCCCCTGAGCAGAGAAGGGATATCTGGAGATGCAACCGTGTATTGGCATTCTACAGGGACGCCTCAAGACATTGAACCATTAAACGGAACAGTTTACTTTCCAGCAGGTAAGAAAGCTTCGTAAACTGAATGTCACAAAATATTATATTTTGTGGTGAATAGAAATCAGTGGGACACCACGCTAACACTGGCTTTCCCTTCACATCAGGTAAACAATATTGGCAAAAATGCTTTTGCCTTGTTTGTCAACAAAAGCAGGCTAGCCCCAAAAGCATTAATAATACTCAATACATAATTTCTGCCACAGAGGGCGCATGTCACAAAAGTAGCAAGCAGTCATCCAAATCAAAACTACGATAAATATAAAGAAAAATAATAAGAATAACTGAACACTAAAAGACTTGACATCATTCAGTACTGAAGTGTTTGGTTTCTAAATTACTTTAGTTTTTTATCGTTTCTCAGGAAGAGGGAATGGAAAAGTGTTTTGGGTTGGACATGTTTATTTAAAACTCAAAATTAGTTTTTATAATTAATAATACAAGCTTTCCATATTTACGGTGTTGAGATAAGGTTAAGGTTTTCAAAATAATGGATATTTTATCAGAATCACAAAGATATTAGCACATGTCAGAGAATGCTCATGGGAACTGGTTAAAATCTCTGAATTTTCTCTATAATTTAAGTTGAAAAATTTCAAAAACTTTGTAAGGATTGTTTCTAGCATTGAACTGCATCTTACTAACCCTCATACACCCTCAGTGTTGTGTATTCAGTTTAATCAGCACACATGGAACTTTCAGAGAAATGGATCTATGTGCATATCTTTATCTATTTATATATTCCTCATCAATTTGGATAATCCACAAGTTGAAATAGCATTTGTGAATGGGGTGTTGTTCTTACAGTGACAATCACCAATTAACTCTTTTATTCTATTCATAGGTGTTTCGTCTGCTTCGCTGTCGGTACATGTCGTGGTTGATGACATTCCTGAGACTGATGAAACAGTAATTATTACTCTAGATAACATTGAACCTTCCAGTCAACGACTTAGATCTGGTTTTGAAACTGCTGAGATCACAATCCTGGAGAATGATAATCCTGGTGGTGTGTTTGAGTTCTCCTCTGTGACATCTGGTCCATACACCGTGCAGGAAGCCGGACAACCCATACAGATTAGTGTGGTTAGAACTGGTGGCAACCTGGTTGAAAGAAGCGTTATGTACTGGGTGGTTAACGGCGCTGATGAATTTCTCGGCGTACCTGAGGTGCTTGTGTTCCAACCTGGCGAGAGTGTCAAGAATTTCACTTTGGTTGCCGCTCCAGATGGAGTGCCAGAGCTTGAAGAGATGTTCCAGTTGAAGTTATCCAGTCATGGTACTCCAGCTAGCAACGTAGGCGGACACAATAGCATAACAATCTTTGTTGAAGTAAATGACGATCCAAACGGAGTGTTCCAGTTTGTAGAGAACCCAATGATCCGTAATCTGGATGAGAGTAAAGACAGTACCATACAGACAGCAACGTTCGCTGTTGTAAGAGCCATGGGAAATTTCTATGAGGCCAATGTGTCCTGGGAGCTTACTCCAATCGGTGGACAATTTGACGTTTTGCCGACATCAGGAGTACTTCACTACGCTGATGGTCAAAACATGAATGTCATTGAGTTAACTGCTTTGGATGATGAGGTGTGTACATTGGTTAGTCCTTGACTTGCTAGATAGTTTCTGATTGGCTACAATATATTAGCAACTAACCATCCAGCCAATCAGAAGAGATCTTGCTTGTTCACAGGATCTGTCAACGAATCAAATTCTCTCTTCTTTAAGAATAAAGCATTAATGCACATTGTTGTCTCATAAATTAATGTACCTAAGGCTCTAAACATTTCTACTTTGTATTTCAACTGGAAACAATCAAACAAAATCAAATGCATTCTTGTTGAAGAATAAAACCTAAACTCAATTGATAATTACATTAAATGTATGATAACATTTGCAGTGTGATTTAAAGCAACACTGTGCACAGAAAGAGCTCACATAACATTGTATGTTCACATACTGATAGAAGCCAGTTGTTAGAGATCTGCTAAAAGCCAGTTTACAAATTTGTAAATCATACAGTTGTCAAAACTGTCAATAAAGGTTATTTTGTGATGACAGTTACATTACGTTACGTTTATGAGTAATGTTTATTTTTGAACTGGCCATACTGCATAATGCTTGGATGACCAATTAGAGATCAGAAGAACAATAACAGTACAGTAGAATTCATACACGTGCAGTTCTGATGACTTTGTCTCTTTAATGCACTGGGTTTTTAAATTCACTTTTAAATTTTTTAAATTTGTCAGTGAAACAATAAGTTTCAAAAATCACAAAAAATTACAGTGAATAATTAATTAACACATTAACAATACTCGATTGATGTCTACAATGCTCTTAAGATGAAGTCTCTATTGTAAAAACAAACATTTCATGTGTTTTGTTTCAGGTGCCAGAACAACCAGAGACATTTAATATTACATTGAGTAATCCCACTGGTGGAGCCAGACTAGGCCATCCCATAATAGCTACATTGAATATTAACAATAATGACGATCCAATCTTTTTTGAAGGTACTGTACATTCACACAGTTATGACTACTTTCTTTAGAAACTCTGTTATTCTTGTGTAACTAAGTTTTGTAGTAATACACAAAATGTACTTGTATTTAGTTCAAGAATTCAAATGAAATAAAACCAGCATCGATGTAAGTAGTGTTGAAATGAGAAAAAATCAAATCCAAAGTATTGTATCACTGTAACATTTTTCAGAATACATATATATTCATGAATCGGTCAGCCCTAACAAAACTACATATAAGTACCCCTACCTTACAGATAGAAATTGGGTAGTACAAACATATTGACATTAATCATAGAAAATGCAAAGTCTGTGATCTTGATGAAGTAGTAGTAGTAGTAGTCCAGAGTTTTAAATCCGGTTTGGTCCCTGAAGACGAGGGTGGCCGGATTCACCTTAAACTCGTGGCAATTGCTCTTACCCCCTCCCTCCACTTTGCACGATTTAAAGCATCCCTCATCCTCATCCCAACCTACCCACTCTCCTCCTCCACTTGCATCTTCCACGTCTTCTTTGGCCTTCCCCTTTTCCTTGGACCGCTCAGTAGAATTAGAAGACGCGAAACACTTTCTGCTAAAATGCAAACTGCACCAAGAGGAGAGGATTAAACTGTTCACTGAACATAACTTATCCTCAGCTGGTGTAGCTGAGGAAGAAATCATGATAAAAATTCTCACCTCTACCGACAACAAAGAAATCACTGACTATGCAAAATACATTTTTAACTGCTTTAACCGCAGAGATATTACACTGAAAAAAACCACCAGCTGCCCCAAAATAATCACTAAATTTTACAGTTCTTGTATTTTTTTTTAACTTTTGTTCTGTTTTACTTATTGATCTAATTTTTTAATTGTTTACCTTATTTTGTTACTTTTTTAGCTAGCTGTTGTTTAGTTAAACAACATTCTTTATTGTATTATTTTCAAGATCTCAATAAGGATACGTAATCAATAAAGTTATTTACTTACTTACTTACATGTTTTTTATAATAATTGGATTCCCAGACTTAGTTGTGACATACAATGTATCGTATCTACATTATTTGTTTGTTCTGTAATATTAATCTATGTGACGATCTGTTTTTAGAACCCATTGATATCATCGTATCGGAACCAGGTACGGCTGTCTTCACCGTTAAACGCAATGGTACAGCTGCGTCCTTTGCTACGGTCAAGTACCGCACCATCTCTGGAACGGCTCAGGGCAGTCAAGACTATCCCAACATCATCGGATATTTAGAATTCCCAATTGGAATAACTACACAGACTTTCAGCATTAATATCTATGAAGATGACATACCAGAGACTGATGAACAGTTCACAGTGGAATTGTATGAACCTATTGGTAAGATAAGATTGCACTACCTCATCTAAATAATATCTCTTGTAGTCATGGCAACAAAAGATGATGAAAGATGAACACAATTTTTGTGTTGTCGTGCACTTGTTTATGTTTTAATTATTATGATAATACATTTGTATGAATGTATTTAAGTCATACATTAAAGGAAATGAGCTACATGAGTTTTTCACATATATCTTTTTAATTTATGTTGTACTATGCCAAAATTACATTTGTGGTAAAAAATGCATAGCATAAATTTATAATAATCAGGGAAAATTCATTTTCCTCCTGCCTAGGTGCTGTTTCAATATCATATCATGAACCTCTGCAGTCAATTTGACCCAGTATTGCATAGATTTAATAATCTAAAAAAATCAGCTTATGAACATTCAAAGCAACCAATTTCCTACCTTATATTCCCAGTTCTTTGTCCAAATAATGTGCTCTCTTATTTTAAAATTTTTTGTTTCCCAATTGCTTTTCCCTGATTTATTTCCAAAGTGTAGTTGTACTGTGAAAAAAAATACTGTAAACCACTTAGATTTTGTGAAGACCAAATTTTGCATATTTTATGATTCAGGGAAAATAGTGATATTGTGGTCATTAAGATATGACTAAAGTCATTAAGACACGACTGGAGTCATTAAGACACGACTAGGGTCATTAAGACACGACTAGGGTCATTAAGACACGACTAACTCATTAAGGCATGGCTGGGATTATTCAGAAATCACAGATAATGTGTCTCTGTGAATGCTTTTAAATTATCAAACCATGGAATTTGTTTGCGGCATAAAATATAACGGTTTACATTATTCAGTTTTAACCCATCCGTATAACCCCTCTTATAATATCCACCTATGCAATTAAAAATAACTTCTTTTAATCATTCTATATCTTATATTTCTCTAATTTACTAACATTCACATACAGGATACTATGATAGATTCAGTGAGTATTTATTGTACAGCTAACAACACTGCAAGAAGTTTACTTCTGTCTTTGCATGTCTCTGTTCCTTCCATTATGTGCATCATTATTTGTCATTGAATTGTAGATACAAGTACTGTAAACATGTCTTCAACTTTTGAATACCAGAGTTAACTTTTGTCAACTTTCACAGATATTAATATTTTTTGTTTAAAAAAAGTCCATATTTTTTTCATAATTTGGAACGGAAAATTAACAAAGAAATTAAAGAAAAATACATAAAATGTTGAAATTAAATAAAAATATGTCAAATTTTAGCAGAAAAATTGTGGCATTCAAAGGATGAAGCTAGCATGTTACTTAGCAACCGGTGACTCAGCTAACATATATATTTTACTAACTCAAAATACTGCTTTATAGTTCAGTAAAAAAATCTGTTTTCATTCTGAGAGTCTTTGCTCATAAAATTAAGATGCTAATTTATGCATTTATGGCCCAATTTGCTACACTGGTATTTAGCTATTCCAAAGTATCCTACCTTTATGAGTGTAGATTCTGTGCACATATAAGAAGATTTCAATCCGTGTTGTTGCTATATTATCTTGCAGCCTCAGGATTTACACTTCAGTCATGTTTTCCTGGAATAATTTATTACCAGTACAATTTTTGGAAATTTTTAAATATGGAAAATAATATTTGGTATATGTTAATTTTGTATCACATGACTACCATCGATGATCTATCCGATGATCATTGATTTTCAGTCATCTATTATACATGTACTTCATTTATTTAATCTGTTCTTTCACTGAGGGTATTTTTCTCATATACTAGTATCACCCTTCCATCTGATCTTGCACATGTAGGTATGTGTGTAGTAAGAGTTACTAGATCTTTACTTACTATTTGCACTAATGAGATTCAAATGTAATGTTTCCATGGTTACATATATTATCGTGTTTATATTATTCTAGTTGTCATTTGTATTTGTAGATGCTATGTATGGTTGCATGTTTAGCTTTGACAATTGGTGTTTGTATATTAGCTTGATTTAGGTGTAGCTATTTTCACTTAAATGTAGAATAGCATCAACTTATTATACCGTATATAAACCTGTTGCTTCATCTGACCCAAATCATGAATCTGTCCAACAAACTCTGTAAGTCACTCAACTAGTTATGGTAAAAGTCAAATATAAGTAAGGCAAAAAAAACAACAACTTGTGTTGCCCTTAAGTCGGAAAATTGGGTCGGTCGGTCAGATTTTTTATTTTTTTTTTAAACTTGTGAAAACTAAGGGTATCATAAATAGCCGAGGTATATGGGGAAAAAAAAACGCGACCCGCTATTTAATATTTTTCGGTCTGTCGCTGAGGGCAACAAAACAATTTTTTTCAACCAAGATCACAGTAAAGTCACATGACAGTCAAATCATTATTGTTTTATCTCCTTAAGTGATTGAACTTTGATACAATAACAAATTCCTTCTCATTATTCGATAGTTTGATGGAATCTGAAATAAATTTTTATGAAAATCTCTATTGACATTGTCAGAAGAAACACAGTGAAAATTGCCCTGCTACAAAATTTACAATTCATCTTGACTCGCAAAATTCATAACTAACATTTATGAAATTTAATTTTAATTCACCAGCAAAAAAGTATGTGACTCATTCATCATGCTCTTGAAATGATTAAATGTTCTCAATTTCACTTTCAGGGGATATTGTTGTGTATGGTGCACCCATAGCAACAGTTACCATAGAAGCAAATGATGATCCTAATGGAATCTTCAGTTTCGAGCCTCCTTTGTTGTTATCTGCTCCAACAGAAGGCATAAATGTTGACTTCATGTAAGTGACAGTAATACTGACTGCAATAAACGTTTTAAATCGTTTTTTATGTGACTGAAATCTTTTGTAATAATTTATCTTATAGTGGGATTACAATCACCTCTATATTTGTAGAAATTTTGTAGAAATTACAAAACAGTGTACCCCCACTAAAACTGACATTGCTTTTTCACTCATATCCTGTAATGCAATGTGACAGTGGCGTAATTTTAAAGGTGCATTCGACCTTGTCCTCGCCGCAGTCAGAAGAAAATATTTGAATATCAGGTGGAAAATAAGACTTCAGATTCAACTGTCACATCAAATTCTTATTTACTGAAATATTTTGTATATTGTGCATTGTAACAGGATTCAGAGAGAGCGTGGAATGTTTGGCGTTGTTCAAGTTTACTGGCAGGTCTATTATAACAACACAGGCTTCGCAATACCAGATGGTTTGGAATTCACAAGGACATCAGGGTTAGTTGAATTTGCCAACTTGCAGACAAAGAAGGAACTCAGTCTGGAAGTAGCTGCTGATGGGATTCCAGAATTCCAAGAGGTCTTCTCCGTCAAGCTGGTCTATATATCAGGTATGGTACCAGAATAAAATGTTGGCCCTTGTGTATTTGGTAGGGTGCCAGACTGATTTACATATAATGGATACTGTATTGTCTCTGAATACCAGAAATGTTGTATTGTATTCAGTATCTGCTTGGTATGGAATAAGAACAACCGATATATCTGAATGTATCACATGTGTTTCATTTTGTTTTATTGAATTACTTAATCTTGAGAACTCGCATGGACTATGTAATGCAATTACTCAAAATGATGGGTGGATCTTAAATGACTGTTATTATAAACTCATAAACAATAACGATTGAGTTAAAATGAATCTGTTTTTAGGAGGCGGACCACCTGGTCCTGGTGGAGAACTCTCAACTACTGGAGATTTGGAGGTTATCTTGGTAGTAGAAGAAAATGATGATCCATATGGTCTCTTCATATTTCCATCTGGATCAAAAGAAAGACATGTGGCTGAAGACTACTATCAAGGACACGAATATTCAACACATACTCTGTTTATATTACAACGAAACAAAGGGGCCACAGGCATGGCCCAGGTAACATAAACCTAGCTACTATAGGTTTGGCTACAAAATATTGTGTCCTGGTAAACTTACTGTGTGGATATCACCCATACAGTTATCATGTGCTAATCTGCTGATTGGGTTTTTGTATGACAGAAACGATTGACAACCAATCTCGTCACTATATGCTCAATATAAATTCCATGAGCTTGGCAAATGCTTAAAAAGTCTGCTTTCCGCTATGGAATGGCTGTTCGATCACAGAATGCAAACATGTACATTATGACAATGCATCTGGTTTAATTGACAAACGGGATACAGAATATTAACGTAAAATCCAATATTGCTTTTTAAAATCCCAGTCATTTCAGAGGAATGATAGCATTGGTAGATAAAACAGTCATCTCTGTGAATCTTGAAGCAACCATTCTAATCTCTGTATCATCACCCTGGTTATTGGATAATAATTTCTCTTCTTCCTGTCACAGCACTTTCAAAATGACTGAAACTTTAACTAATGGTTGATTATCAGTTTTTCTGATGAGAACTTAATATTTCTTCAATTGTCTATTTGATAATTAGGTATTATGGGAGTTATTTACCGATGCCACCTCAGGAACAATGCCATCTTTGAAAGATTTGATATTTCTCAGTTCCTATGAGACTGGGTACAGTGTAGAAGAGATGCCAGACAAGAGAAGACCTCACACAGGCACCATGGTGCTTTCATTCAATGGTTCAACAGGTGAGTTAATATTTGTTCATACAACTTGCTTTAGTGATGTTATCGATATATTGGTAGGAACCTTATTTAGTCACATCTTTTCATTCAGATTCATTTAGTAAAATTTATTGCTAAGATAAGTTATTGAGTGCCCTCATGCTGTAATAATTGTTATACCATTCTTGAATTCTCCAATGAGAATTCTAGATTTCCCTGTCGTTGTGAGTCGTAACTTGGTTATGGTTCGGTATATGAGATATCAAAGTACCAACAATCTTAAATATGCAACAAATTAAGTTATGCGTACTCACAACAATTTAATTCAATTTGATCTAATTCGTGCAAGCCGTGGTACCTGTTAGTTAAAAACTTGATGATTATGAAACGTAAATCACTCATGCACTTGCTTTAATATAAGCCGCAACAGTCACATGACCATGATTTAAAAGTATGTATATTTCCCTTTAAAATGAAAAAAAAATATTTTTCTAAATTGTGATTTATTCTTCCTATTATTAGAAATGTATTGTTTTAGTTATTCATCTCTGATAACAAATATTGCTCATTTCGCGTAATTGTTTTTTGTTTGTTTCCTAGATGCATATTTAACAGTTGCACCAGAGTACCAGCCAGACCCAGTTGACATAATGACAGGATTCGCCATAAGTGTCTGGATACAGCCAACATCGGAGTGTAATGGCTTTATAGTTGCCAAGGCAACCAGTGATGCAGCTAAGACCTTTTATGGGTTAAAACTTTCATCTCTACCATTTACCTCGCTAGAGTTTAGATACGCATCTCATATAAGCTCGGTGAGTGAACATAAACTTTATAGTAATACTCAGACAGTACGCCGTCCCATCGACCTCTGTTGTGCGTTGGTCGATACTTTCGCTGTACTGTCCTCGTGCATACTTTGAGGTATCCTCGTAATAACCTTGTTATTATACATCTTATCCTTCCAAGAATACATCATAGGAATGCCGAAATCCAAAAAATTTAGAACAGAATTAGCGAACTTTGTGTGGAATCCCAAAAAACCCTGGTGGCAGCCATGTTTGTTTTTATTATTAGAGAACGTTTACGCATGTAATCATTCCATATTTGGATTTCGCAATTCCTTATATGGTAGGATAAAAATACCCCGTAAAATACCACAAAATTATGGCACGCTGTAACCTATGGCGTTACAGTGACAGATGTATAATAATGTTCGATACTTTGAAATATTATTTGACCAGTGTGATATTATCTTTTCTCTTAAAGTGTTAATTTTCTTAAACTTCTATCTATGGAGTCAAGAAACATACATATATTTGTCATCATGATTACCCAGGGTTCATTGCTTGTTCTCGCTCTAATTCAGTATATGATATAATTTAGTGATGTCAGTCACTGTAAACAATTTAGGCTGAACAATCTGGCACTGTGATTTCATAAACAATAGAGGAATTAACTAGAAAACTGCATAACCTCTAGATTAAGTTTTGAAATAATCATTGTATTGCATGGTCTTATTAAACATTGTAAAGCACTATTTCGACGGATCTTAATTTTTACTGGTAATTATTTATATTAACCTAAATACTGGCTGATTTATTTTATTGCTCTGTATTTAACAATCTATTGAAAAATACATTTAACAATGGTGGCTATAATATTGACTAATAACAAAATGATGGCAAATATTTCAGCAATGAGCAAATCGGTCAAAGTCTTTCAACTCTGGTCTTTGGGTCACAATGTGGGGTCAATAGGTTTGTCCTTGCCTAATTACGCTTCCAGTCCTTTATTTTAACCTGATCTTTTCTAGCTGCACATAATGAGTTGCAAGAATTTATTTTCAAAGTTTTCTAACAGTCCTGCATTGAAACCCAATTTGTGAAGGGATCTCTAATTTTCATATTTTTTCTTATGTTTTAGTCTAACCATGTTGTCTCAATAAGTATTCCTAATATGCGTTTAGATGATGGCGATTGGCATCTTGTCATTCTTAACGTTAACAATGGTATGGCAGAGATCTATATTGATGGAGAACCTGTTGCACCAATGTAAGTACTATGAAACCTCATGCACACCTTTTCTGTAAATTGCGCCCTCTATTGATGAACTACTGTAGAATACTTTATTTTCGCTTGGAATTTATTTTCGCTATATTCGCTGAAGGGATGATTCCGTGAAAATAAAATCCAGTGAATATACTTTTTTCCCTATATTTCACATTCAATTAATCAAAAATCAGTGAAAATAAATTCCATAAAGAACGCCCAAAAAGCCTTTTCAGCGAAAATTAATTCCAGCGAAAATAAAGTATTCCACAGTACTTCTATGATCTGAATTGGTGACACTTACGCATCAGTATCAATATCAATATCATCTGGAGTCACATCCATCAATGAAGATGATAATTTTGAGAGATGATGAACGACTACACAACCAAACACTGGTCGATTTGATTGAGATTGTTTCCCCCGTATACATCACTGAAGCTGATGGAGATCAATAGGGAGCGTGATTTATAGGAATGGGATATTGAAGGAGATCCTGCATTATAAATGAAATCAAACATAAAAACAGGGCAAACAAAGTTTACAGCATTGTGCTGATGTAAAAACATTGCCTGGGATTCAATGCGAAAGTATTTTGGTGATACTTCCAAGCTTAATAATTTGCTACAACTATGGTAAATTTTGATGAAGTAAGGGTATCTTAACTCTTTATCCCTCCTGACAGATCAGTATTTTGACATTTAACTATTTAAAAAAAGTTCAAAATCAAATTGTACTATTTTGGGACGTATGATTGATGACATTTTTATGCATTACCGGGACGCTAGATCTTGTACATATTGTAATGTCATATTGTTGTATTGTAGGTATCTTGTAACACAACAAACAGAAGATGGGGAAGGTATATTATGGGTTGGATCTCATCCACCTGGTACATCACCGTATCAAGGACTTCTACAAGATTTAAGAATATACAGCCGAAAACTAGAGCTAAAGTAAGCATTTGCTCAGTTTTTTTCTCTCAGAACTCTCTTACTACGTCTAACATTTTACATTTGGAAGTTACATGAACCACATCATGGATACGCCAACCCTTAGAGCATCAAAACCAATTTTAGTCATCTTTCAACAAAATAAATCATAAATCAAAATCTGTAACCAATGGGAGTTTATATTCATCTGGTCCAAAATGTTTAGGAAAATACCTAAAAATACATAAAGATGTGAAAAATGCACCAACATTTTGTTGGGAAAAATTCTACGATTGTTGAAAATGTTGTCAATTTTAATATTCTTTGGCAATATTGGTAACCTTAAGTCACTTATTTTTATTTTTTATCACTTATTTTTATTTATAAGTAGATTAAAAAATGCTAGAAAAGAATGGGTCATGAACTTTTTTATATAATTGCATTTATTAATTGTGTTCAAGTCCAATAATTAATTTGTTAAATCGAATGGATGGATTTCCATTGGATACACGTCTTGATGAGCTGTCAGCTTTAATTTGTTATGTTCACATAAGTTGACCTTGGCAATCAAAGTTAATAACTTGCAAAATCAAGGAATTCCATAAAAAATTGTATCACATGTGTCATTCAACTAATAACCATAGGCCTATTTAATATCTTTCTATCCTATGTTTACAGTGAAATATCTGAGTTATGGGAATATCCATCCAAGGAAGATGTCACCCCAATATCCGGGTATCTGACTTATCAACCAGGTGTTCAGCAGCAATTTATTGAAATTCAGTCTATTCAAGATATTGAAGAAGAAGGAAACGAAGTGTTCACTCTGAATCTGTTATCAGTAAAGGGTGGTGCTAGGAGATCTCCTACGGAATCCACAGCCTTGCTAACTGGTATGTGTGTGTCAAAGTACATAGTATAATACTGGAATGAAAAATATGTACTCTGTCTCTGTTTTTCACTTTTTTAAAATTATTACCTAGTATCATTAAGGTCATTGATGAAGATGTTAAAATAAGTAATTTTGCACAGAATAACTTTGCTTTCATTGTTTCTTCTAGATTAGAAAAAAAAGGAGAATTAGAATTGGAATTTCACTTTGTATAGTACCGGGGGTATTTGATTTTTCTCAGATTGTGTGATATGTTTTTAAAAAAATCTTTTGTTTAGAATTTTATTGTTACTTCCATTAAAAACACTCAAGATTACAAGGAAAGTACAAATGTGGTTCTTTATTTTATGTAATTTATCTTGGTATTTCAATTTGATTTGGAACATTTCAACAAAATTTTGGCTTCTCTTTTTTTTGTGACTTGATCCAAGTGAATGATAGTGCAATATCTGTGAACATTGATTTTCAAACAAAATCAAGTCTGTGGAACAGTTGTCTAAACTGACGAGAGTAAGCACATTTCCTGCTGGAAGTCTCCATGGTTTGCTAAAATGAAAAATGCTAATATGAATAATGATTCTGTCATTTTATTTCAGTTCTTAAAAGCGACAACGCGAACGGTTTATTCAGTTTCGATGGACCATGCTCATCCATGCAAATTGATGCAACATCTACAGAAGCTATGGTGTTTACATGTGATGTTGTTCGTAACCGTGGTGATGAAGGCACAGTCGCATTGCCCTGGGAGGTACACCAACTGATTGGGGGATTTCCTTTAGCAATAGAAGATTTTATCAACGCTACTGGAACACTAACTTTCCCTAATGGAATCAGAACTGGGGTAATTGTACTTTTATTTTATTGACCCTATCTATTGCAGACACGGTCTACCAATAAATGCCAATGCTGAGTAATTTCACAAGAGATAAATTTCCGCACAATTCATGAGGCAGTGAAAATGGTAAAATTTGTAGCTGTGAAAATTTGTCTTCGCAAATGTCATAAAACCATCAGATCATCATCAGCATCATTATGTATATGCAAATACAGTTCAGAAAAAACATTAATTTAGTGATATGAATGTTTTTGTTGTCTTCCAAAGAAAGTTAGCTCCCTGAGCGTAGTAATATGAGGTTATTATGACTGTATCGCAAAGTATGCACGAAGACAGTACAGCGGAAGTATCAACCAACACACAACGGAGGTCAATGCGACACAGTCGCAGTCTGAGTGCATACTTTATGGTATCCTCATAATAACCTTATTATTATACATCTTTTCCTCCCAAGGATACATCATAGGAATGACGAAATCCAAAAAATTTCAAACAAATTTTGTGGAGGCTGCCACGTTTGTTTTTATTATTAGAGGACGCTTAAGCATGTAATCGTTCCATATTTTGAATTTGCATTTCCTAATATGGTAAATTACAGCATGCTGTAACGGCATTATGGTGACAGATGTATAATAATCACTTGTATCATACCCTTACCCTGACATACCCTTATTTGTTCTATCTTAGACTATAACTTTAGAAGCCAGTGATGATGTTTTACCAGAGTTTGAAGAACACTTCCAAGTTGTGTTAGTCAGTCAACATCCCATGTCAGATGATGGAGTTACAGGATCTACAAACACCAGTGGAGCCAGTATTGATCCAACAGCAGATACAAATGACTTATTCATCCCAGTAAGCGATTCTCCACATGGACTGTTACAGTTTTCAAATGGGTCTCCGCCTGCTTTTAATGATCCTCTGATCATGCCTGCTACCTCACTCATTCAGCGTAGAGTCTCTGAGTCTATAGGTACCGTGTCACTGTTGATAGTAAGAGCGCAGGGATTGTCTGGTGAAATAACAGCCGAGTGGAGGACGTTTGATAGAACTGCGGTATCTGCTGGTAAAAGCCCTATCGATTTTGTGGTGAGTGAAATTCACAATATTATTTTACTAATAGTTACCGATTCCATTAGTGTTATAAATACTTTGCCTTCTATTGTGGAATTTGTCTATGATTCACATTTGCATATTCTTACATAGTAGTATTTACATATAATTTGCATATTCTGATAACAATTTGCATATAATTCTGTTTCTGATTCCATTATTATTATAAATACTCTGCCTTCTATCATGGCATTGCATAATACAATTTGAATAGTCACAGATAGGTGTTTCCATATAATTTGGTTAGTATTGTCATTTATAATTGCATAATGTGCATAATAAAATTTGCATTTTCTCGTAACATTTGCAAAGCATTTGCATAGTGATGTGATTTACCTATAATTTTCATAGTTTAGTAATATTTGTTTATGACTACATTTACATAGTGGTGGTATTTACATATCATTAGCATATTCTGGTAAAAATTTGCATATAGTTTGCTTAACAATGTCAGTTACATACGATTTGCATAAACTTGATAAAATTTGTATATATTTGCATAGTAATGTCATTTGCATATATTTACAAACATTATGGTTTTCAAAATATGTTTGCATGTAAATTAATGTTATTCATGTTTTTGATTTATATCATAATAGAGTCGTGGTGGTGTTTTAACTTTTGCGGATCAACAGAGATATGCATATGTTGACATCCAAATTATTGACAATAGTATACCTGAACTAGACAAAATGTTCGAAGTACAACTTTCTAATCCTGGAGGTGGAGGTGAGAATTTTATTTTCCGAAGTAACTTATTAAAGAAAGGTGATATGAATATCAGGATGTTTATTTTACAACTGACAGGCAATTGTTTGACATAGTAGTAGATGGACAAATCTACAGTATTGGTATTTACATTCTGTTTATTTTTCAAAATGGACAGCTGATATAACAGATTAGACATGCAATTTTGAATGCCCAGATAAATGTTTTTTTTTGGCATCTTCATGGTTTTTGAGATTTAAATGTCCTAATTTCATTGCATTTTGATACTTTTGTCATTTGTTTACTACGATTTGCTCATTACACCGTGATGATGTCATTAGACCCATAGTAGGCATTATGTGTAGGTTTAATTATTAGTCGTGTAGTCTTTTTTGGGATGGTAGATGCATGATTATTCAATGCATTGTGTTTTGTAGATGTTTTGTAACCCTTGTGATTCTATCTTTATGCATCTGATGGGATGGATTGTATTACATAGTCCATGAGGTGATGTAGCGCCCTCTGGTGGACTGATGTTGAAAACATAATTCC